TGCGGAACCAGCTCGACCAATCGTAACCATAGAAAAAGCGAAGGAAAGAAAACGGAATGGCTATGATTGGTCGAGCTGGTTCCGCACATTCCGTTCCGCTATATATTTCCGCTCAATGGGACATCGCCCTCAGGCTTCTCTCTGGTTTTCTATAAAAGCTGTGTTTTCGCGCATGCGCCTTTAAATATAGCATTACTGCCGTACTAACTCCGGCTCTAATAAGAGCCGTCTACAATGGAGAGTTGTAGGCCGTAATAGTAAGAAATTGACCAATCACAGGCAAAGTACAGAAGAATAATCGATTGTGTAGACGACCCTTAACGCGTTACGAAAGAGTTTGTGCGAAAGCCCTTAAGGGTACGTTCAGACAACTTAACAGTTGCACAACGGTCGAGAGATAATCACTTATGATTGGATCATACTTTTGGAACCGTTACAGGTTTTAAAGAATAGTCCTATCATAAGTGATGATTTCTCAACCGTTGAGTTTTCTGAACGTAACCAATGAATGACTTCAAAGCATTTGTTGTGTATAAGACCTGGTTTATGTGGGCAAATAAGGCCTTGTTTAGGCCTTGTTTATGCGGGTAATAACTGTTACCTTATGCCGGAACTGATACAGTTCAACTATGGGATTTCAATGCTTCTGTTTATACAAAATTGCCGAATGCGTATAAACAGCAATATTAAAATTTCCGGCCCGCATAAACTAGGCCTAACTCGATCTCCATCTAGTAAATAATAATAATAAAGCCCTTTGCACAATAGAAGGAATAGCGATAGCGATAGAAATAACATCAGTTTTAAAGAGTTTATATTTATAAATTAACAGTAGGAACAGCGGAATCTAACATACAAGAATACACATGTATCAATGCAGATCAGAAAACGAAATAAGCAATAACGATAAAATTTCCAACGAGTTGGAATTCTGTCTCTTGCTTATCGCTATCACTATTCTCTCGCATTGTGCAAGGGGCTTAATCATCATACATCATACGTACACACAGCGTCAAAAATTCGCGGAGTAGGCGCGGGGATCGGAGGGCAAGCGGGGGGGTTGCTCGTAGCGCCAACGGGCGCCGTACGAACTAAGTAGTAGTCCACAACTACGTTGTGTCGATAATGTAACTATTCTTCTTTATTATTTTCTTCTCAAAACGTAAAACTATTGGTCATTTGCTAAATACTTAACGTTGACAAGTAACATGTATATAAATATA